CGGCGAACGCCTTGTTCTCACTATGTCTAAACATACCGCCAATAATACTACGAAAATTTCTCTCAGGGATACACCTCCTCGATATATATATATATATATATATGTGTGTGTGTTTGTGTATATATATATATATATATATTCACGATGTATGCATCCATAAGTATACACATGCTCTCACTGTGCTGCACATACATAGCTGAGAGCTACACACATGTACCGATGCTTGCTTACCTCCATCAGGTCTGTCGCGCGGCCAGGTAGCGGATTCTTCACGGGAGGTATCCTGTAGTTCTTCCTCGGATGTAGCGACACTGGGTCGTCACCGACCACCTTAGCTGCGTTCATTGCAATCCAGATGATGTCGGCGGAGCTCATGCGTCCATCCTTACGTTCACTCAGATCGGAAGCCATCATCTCCACCAGAGGCGCTGCGGTCGTGTCCACCATAGACTCATTCGGTAGAGAACTCGCAGTGGTTTCCTTCGCGACCGTTTCATCCGCCAGCGGCGCTGCTGTCGTGTCTTCCGGTGTCGACGTCGGCGGCGGCGGGCCGTCGCTTCCGGTGCGNGTCGCTTCCGTCTGCAGTGACGTCATCGTGTAGTATTCCGCCATCGGGTTTCGGAATGCCATCGTCATGGGCGTCGCGGCCACCGTCGCCGTGGGAAGATTCCGCGAGAGGGCGCCCTCGCGTTTCTGTCGCTCTCTCATTCGCTCCTCCTCCTCTATGCGCTTCTGCTTGTTCGCCTTGCGTCTTCTCCTGATGAACCAGGCTTTCGTCTGCACCACGGTGATGTGCGCTTCCTCCGCCAGGCCGTGTAGCTCGCTGCCTCGCGGGTACGGGTTGCTAGCGTGCGCCTGATACCACACCTACACGCGTACAGCCAAGGGAAAGAACGCAGAGATTTTGTTTAGACACGATTAAAAGACGTTGGTGGTACCGTTTAAGTATATATATATATATATCAGGAGTATATAAAGACCTGTCTTGTCTTTATATACTCCTGATATATATTATGTATATATATGTATATTATGTCAAGTAAATGAGTTAGTATATCGCGCGGCGAATTAGACAATGATAACACCACTGGGGGACAGATCAAAGCGCATCGATATTAATATATTGTTTATATTGGGATGCCATCGTCATGGGCGTCGCGGCCACCGTCGCCGTGGGAAGATTCCGCGAGAGGGCGCCCTCGCGTTTCTGTCGC